GTAAAATGTAGTAAAAGACTCAGTGCCAGCTTTCGGCATAGATGAGTTAGCTAACAGGAACAAGTCTTATTCCTCTGAAGGAAGACTGAGGGTGCTATGGAGTGAGGGATTTCAAGAGAGAAAAGTGGATGTGCCCAGGACAAATTAAGCCTTTGTGGCTGAAGTACAGTTGTAGGTGCCAAGTATGTGGAGACTGTATTAGGACCTTTCTCATTGCTGTGGCAAAATACCTAACAAAAGGCCTCATTTTAGCTCGGTGTTTGACTGTGTAGTCCACCACAGTGGGGAAGGTGTGGTGGTGAGCTCTCCTTAGCTGTGGCAGCAGGAACTTGAAGCAGCTGGTCACATTTTATTTATAAAATAAATGAATGAATGAATAAGAGAAGTAAATGTTGATGCTCGGCTCAGTTTCCCCTTCCTAACTTCCTTCAGTCTGGGTTCCTAGCCCCCGAGATGTGACTGCCCACATTCACGGTGGGAATTCCCTCCTAAGTTAAACCAGTCCAGAAACACCCTCAGAGACAGTTGCTGTTCTTTTGCTGGGAAGAGAGAGCATGTGAGGAGAGAGCACTTAAATGGGGGCTTGCTTACTGCTTTAGAGAGTTAATCCAGGACCATCTTGGTAGGAAGCAGACAAACCTGGCACTGGAGCAATAGCTGAGAGCTCTTCATGCTGATCCACAGGCATCAGGCAGAGAGAGAGAGAGAGAACAACTAGGCCTGGTGTGGCCACCCCCAGAGACACCTCTCCTCCACCAAGGCCACGCCTCCTAATCCTTCCTAAACATGGCCATCACAAAGCTATCCTTTGTCATCAACTCCAAACTCAAATACATCACATTGAACTGTGACATTCCATCCTTGGTCTTGAAACACGTGTGGTTATCTCATAATGCAAAATGTGTTTAGTTCATCTGTATGAGCCCCTCCCCCCAATTTTTTTTCCAAGATAGAATTTCTCTGTGTAGCTTTGGCTGCCCTGGATTCGCTCTGTAGACCAAGCTGGCCTCAAACTCACAGAGATCCACCTGCCTCCCTGAGTGCTGGGATTATAGCCTCCCATTTTTTTTTTTTCAAAGTGTGTGCATACACACACCATGATGTGAAGGTCAGAGGTCACCCTTCTGGAATCCGTTGTCATTTTCTATTGCGTGAGGGTTTTCCTGAGTTCTACTGCTGCTGTGCTGTGTACTCCAGGCTAGCAGGCCTGTGAGCTGCGGGGTGATTATCCTGTCTCACCATAGGAGCACTGAGATTACAACAGCACGCCGCCACATTCCACCTTCTGCCTGGACTAGAGACTGAACTCAGCTCATCAGGCTTGCATGGCTAAATACTTTAACCCAGTGGGCCTTTTCCTTGGCCCAAGATTTCCTATAATCTTTTTTTATTTTATTTTGTTTTGGTTTTTCGAGGCAGGGTTTCTCTGTGTAATCCTGGGCGTCCTGGAACTCAGAGATCCACATGTCTCTCCCCCCCCTCCAAGGGCTGGGATTAGAGTGTGCCACGACCGCCTGTCAACTTCCTACAATCTTAACAGTTCCAAATTTGTTCAAAATCCCATAGTCTCTTTTGAGACTCAAAGCAATCTCTTAACTGTGAGCCCCAGTAAAATAGAAGTCACGTTATTCCAATACACAATGGTACAGAGCATCCAGTGTCATTTTAAAAGAGGAATAAGGAGCTGGGCAATGGTGGCACAGCCTTTAGTCAAAGCACTCCAAAGGCAGGCAGATCTCTGTGAGTTCAAGGCCAGCCTGGTCTACAAAGTGAGTCTAAGACAGCCAGGGCTCCACAGAAAACCCTGTCTCAAATAAAACAAAACAAACAATAAACAACAACAACAACAAAAGAGGAATAAGGGCAGGGCAATGAAAAGTTGAACCAAAGCAAGACTCAAACCCAGCATAGCAAACAGCAAGTTCTGCAGAGTCATGTTTGGTATAGTCCACAGTGAGGAAGGCATGGTTGACTGTATGG